TATTATGAACAAAATCATTCCATTCGATATATAATTAATATTATATAATTAATTATAATATATAATTTTAAAATTACAATATTTTTTAACAAAAATAAACGTATATTCGGATATTTTTGAGTGATATTGTACACACCTTATCAAGAAATTGATAGGATTTCGTTAATATACAGGATATGTGTTTTTGGAATACATCAAGATATAGAATTTATGAAAATCAACCAATTGCGATGATCGGCACATTTGGACCTGGATTTTATACTAATATTTGCCCGAATTTTCATGTCACCGATTACAAACTATTAAATGGCAAGTGTTATACTCAACTTTGACCTTTTCTGCACAATCGAAAAGGTCTTACTATATTATCTATTTAAATTTTAAATTTCATATAAATTAAAAATGATAAAAAACAATATTAAAATTATTTGTTATAAAATTTAATTAATTAATTAAAAATTATCTACATTAAAATAATTTATTATTTAATGTACACACAAATCACAATCTTAGAATCATATATTTTTAAACTGAATTTATATTTTACATGTGTATTGCGAATAATTTAAAAATTAAAAATAAAAGCTAAAATTTTTTAATTACAATTTTTTAATGTCAAATGATTAAATGATTAAATTTATTTTTCTAATATTTAAAATATTTAAAATATAAATTGAAATAATGAGTTAAATTAATAAATTTAACTTTTTTAAATAATTATTTATAAAAAAAAAAGTATTTTCCAATCTGGATGACTTCTTTATTACTTATACTTATACTTCTTTATTTTTCTATATTATCAAAATATATGTGAAAATATTATAAAAATGATTTTCATAAAATTTCAAAATCATTACTGAGAGTAATGATCTTGACAGCATGTTAAAAAATCATCGAAATCGAAGAATGATATCTTTTTTTTTATATACAATTTATCTAAAAAATATCTAAATAATATCTATTTTTTTTACTTTATAGAAAAATGTAAAATATCAGGGAGAACAAAAATTTTTTCATCACTAATCGGTTAAAACTTTGAATTCAATAAAGAGAAGAATTGGGATCATTGGCGCTATTGTTAGTGAAACTTAATAGAAGATCTTGATAGTTATAGATAATAGAATTATGAAGAATTAATGAAGCTCAATTTAATTTTCTCTTAGTTCTTCTATATAGAAAGTCGACATTTGAATAATTCATTTTAATTCATAACAAAAATATTAAATTGTATAAGTTCATTTGCATTAAAAAAGATTTTATTGTCTGGTTGATGAAATCATAAAGAAATATTTTATTATAAACTTAATTATATAATTAATAATGAAAAAATAGAAAAAGTAAATGAAAAATAAAAACTTCAAATTCAACCAAAACAAATTTTTCTTCACTAAGAAAAACATTTATCTATAGATTTTTTTCAATAATGCGATAAAGAAATATTTTTACTTATCATTTTCACAGATTTTGCTTAATTTGATTTTTATCTATTTTATAAATTGTAAAATTCTTTCAATGAAAAATATTCCAAAAATCAAAGAAATATATATATGTATATGTGTATCATACATTGAATTTTTTAAAAAACTTATAAAAAACAAAGAGCTTTATAATAAAGAAATAATTAAAAGTAATTATTGAGAATGCATAAATAAAATCGATTTTGAAATATATTATTGCATATTGTTTTAGATATGCATATTGTTTGTAAATATTCTAAATAACTACTTACTTTACACATATTCGATTTCAGTTTTCAAAATATGTAAAAATATTTTTGATATTAAATTTAAAATAAGATATTGGATTTTTAATTTCATGAAAAAAAGGAAATCTCAAAAATAAGAAATAATATATTTAGTATTTTTATATATAAAAAAAGTTGTTAAAATGATATTTTTAATAAGATCATTGATTTAGAGATATATATTTTCAACCATATTTTCAATAATTTTGTATTTCAATTATTTAAAAGATAATAAAATATTATAAAATAAAGTGAAAAATATATAATTGGATAGATAAATTTTATAAATATATCAGTTACTTAATATTTTTATAAAAAAATACAAACGAACTTAAATATAACATACAGACATAAAAATATTTATCATACACAATATAATAAAATATAATAAAAATATTTACTAATTACATTGAATATTCACTCTATATAAAATGCAAATTAAAAATAATCTTTACAATAATATAAAAATAATCTTTTCAAATTGTAAATATTGTTTATCTATAATACACATCAAAAATATCAAATATCTAAATTCATCATAATCTAAATAATTTAAAATGTTTAAAAATCTTATAAATTGTCAAGCTCTCCGACATCCTCTCATTCAAATGAAAAAATAAATCTATCGAACGTGCATGAACAATTATCTTTAGAATTATTAGAGAATTATCTGAAAATTCATGAAAAACCACGAACATACGAATTCCCCATAATTCTTTTAGGTACAAAATATTTTCACGTGACGAAAAACACATTATTCTCTAACGCATTACTGGACAGAGACTCGTTGGGTCCAGCACCTGGAGGGCCAGGTCCCCGTGTCGTCCTTCAAGTTCAATGCGTCGTTTGGGAAGAAATCACCGGTATACAATACGCGCCCATCAACACTTTGCATATTGATATTTTGGACCAAGACGACAATCCACCGATGGCTCAGGGAAATGATTCCATAGCTATAACGCTCCAAGAATTCACCACGGTGAGTGAAGACGCGATGAATCGTCTAACGATGGTAACGCGAATCTCGTTAACTGAAATGTTAGTCGAGCGAATCTTGACTAAACTCGCTCATCCACGAACGAAAGCTTAAAGAATCGGACTTAATCAGTGGCGCATTGTTTCCACGATCGCGAGGCATTGTTTCTAACGGCTGCCGTGAAAAGATGCGGAAACGACGAACACGACGGGTACCATTCCGAAGAACGGGGACAGGATGGACGAAGGAAAACCCTTCGGGGGCTCATCTTGATTAAGCTCGGATCTCTTTTTTACTTTCGCCGCCTATCATACATTTCCACTTTCCCCAACATTTTTCTACAGGGTGTTTCGTTTAACTGGATGCGCTCGAATATCTCACGAAGCACTAAACGTTTATCGAAAAAAAAAAAAATGGGCCTTCATTTTGTACAGGATAATCGATTTTGTAAGAATAATAAGAAGAAGGAAAAATAATAATCTTGTATATATATTACAAACATGTACAATATTACGAATGTATACTATATATATTATTCGTTATTTGAGAAGATGTAACAAAATGGCAGAGGGGAAATGGAGGATTTCCGTTTGCTTCGCTTGAGCGCATTAGTGTTTATATAATAAGATTCTCGTAAACTATGAAGATACATTTTGTCAATAGTTTAACACTCTACTTGAATTTAACTGATGCTTTGATGTCGTCATTACCGCATCGTTCTGTTCCAATCACACTCGATATGTTTGTTTGTTTTCTTTGTCATTTGATTGTAGATGTGACTGTTTTGATCAATTAGAGAAATAAAGATATTATTAGATAATGAGGCAATAGTTTTGCTTACCATCTTCTTATAAACGAACAGTATATATAGCATTTAAGAAGTATTTCATATTTTGATGTCATATAATAGAATATCATGTTATAATTTTTACTAATATTTTCATTATCATATTATTTATCATTATTAATAATCATTAATATTGTACAGTATTATTTATTATTGTTGTATAATGAAATTGTACACGATTAAATAAAATTAATTATATTCATTGATAATATATATATAATATTCATTGATGCGATATTATGAGATAATATCTTATTATTTATGTGTTGATATTGAAATTAATTTGTTTTGTTGCACGTTTTCTAACAAATTTTGCGGTTTCATTTTGTACAAAATAAATATGATTTTATAATGTATTATAATATATATAGATAAAAAAGTTTTAAGTATGAATCCAATGTTATAAATATTTTTGTGCAGAAACTTTGGATTTAGGTTGAGATATCTCGAACTCAGACTATGTTTACTTAACTGTTAATCATAGTGATAATTTCGTTAATTTTAAAACTGGTATAAATATCCAAACCATCGATAAATAAAAATTTAAAAATGCAAATCTGTAAGAATTCTTTAGTTGAAAAAATATCAATGAATTAAATAATTGTAATGAAATAGATTTATTTGAGTGATTACTGCAAACTATCTAAAATATTCTTTTATCTAAACCTAAATAAAATATAAAATAAAGAAAATTTGTTTTCTAATTTTCTGCAATTTCTGCTATTTTCGCATACAATTATTAGCATATTTATATTTTTAAAAAATAAAAAAAAATATGAAGAAGAATAGAAAAAGATTAATAATAAATAGAAAGAAGATTTTTTAATAGTATCACAATTATAATCGGATTGATTTTTTTGTTAATAAATAATATTATCAATTAGAAGTAGAATGATCTTATAGATTTTTTTTATATTTTATTCAAAATAAAAAATTCTTTTCATGCCACATCTCTTATATTTAAACAATATCTTGTCAAAAAATCGTATTTATTTAAGAAATATGATTAAAAAATTCAAAGACTGAAAAAATCTTCAATAATTAATTCACTAAAAAAATTTTCATTAGAAATGAAAGACATATTTGCTTTATTGACACCGTTTCCAGTTAAACAAAACATACAAAATCTAATATACGCATCTAAAAAGTATTAGTTATAAAAGTATTCATACACTAATTTACCAGAAAATTTATGTATTTTAAAAAATTTGATTTTAATGAGAATTTTGTAATGGATTGTAAAACAGTTTATTTTTAAAAAATCTCGTATGAAATCAATTTTGAAATTTAATTTTCAATTTTATCATTTTATATTTTATATACAATTTTCTCTGAAAATATATATGACAAAGGCATCATTATGACAAATAGCAAATTTGAATGTTTTATAGTTTAAAATTTGTTTTTATTCATATTTTTTCGTACTATTATATATTTGTACTATTAATAGTATTAATTAATAATATTAATAGTATTAATAGTATTAAAAAATAAAATTTATTAAAAAAAATTTCTCCATATATAACACAATGATTCAAAACAAAATTATTGTTGATTTTATATAACTTATAAGTTGAATTCGTATAGTATATGTATGAATAATTTTGATTGATTATATATATTTATCAGTAAAAATTATCCTTGAAATAATTACAAGAAATTATCTTTTTAGTACGAAACCGCAATTTAAATTGGAATATTTTATAAATCAATAATTTCTTGAGATAAATAGATTAATATTTTTTTATACCAAAAATAACAAATAAATAAATTAATATATTCAAAATTATATGATTTCATTTAAAAAAATAAAATTAAAATCTTTAAATATTCAATCTGCAAAAAAATTGTTTATATAATATAATTAATTAACTTTTATTAAAACATTTCTTTTTGATAACTTAAATCCCTTGTGAAATATTTGAGTATATTCAATTAAACAAAACACCCTATATATCCTATGTTTCGCATACTACAATCGTGAATGCGCGAAACTTCGATTCTCGTGATTCGATCGAACAAATTAGAGAACAAGACAGTTCAAGACAGACAATCTGGAAGTTTTGATAATAGAAATCCATTCCCATTATTTCTTTTCATTAATTTGAATAATGGAGATCGATTCAGAAAACTGAAGTCGATTATTTACAATCAGTCACAAAAGTCTTCATATGTTATTTTATAAAATTTGCCTATGTTGACAAATCTGATTTTAATAAAAATTTATATATATATAGAATATAATATATTATGTTTATATTTATGATTAAGTTATGCATAGAACAATTTATTTTTTGAAAAAGAAATTTCATATAAATATATGAAGCCTAAATAATAATAACGTTTCATAAAACATTTAAAATATGTTATTTAAAACATTTCATATAAATTGTTATTATGTATGAAAACTTCTATCTGATTGTAATTTCTACTCAAAAGAGATTCTTTTTAGAAATGAATCACTAAAAATCTTGAAATTAAATTTCAAAACTTTGTGCTATTTTTGTGTTGTGTTGGTTTAAAACTCTTGAGATATAAATAACTTACAAGAATATTATGATAATATAAATTTATTTATTTAATTAATTTATTTTTATTTAATTATGAATAAATAATATACTGAATTTATTCTTTAATATTAACGATTTCATTAATTCATTTTATATTGATATAAGTAATTTTCGATTAATACGATTTTTTAATTGATTTTGTGCTATATTTATATATATATATACATGTATTCATTACAAGTTTTATTATTCATGTAATGAATCATATAAATGTAATGATTGTATTGAAAATAATTAAAGAAATTTCATTCTGCTGATAATTTTTTTATTTATATATTGTTATATATTGTTATTTATATATTGTTATTGTTGTTTATTTATATATTGTTTCTTGCCAAATATATCGAAATCAGTATATAACAATAAACTATTTTATAATAAACAGTATATAACAATAAAAACTTTTATGATACTAGTAAAAAACGTGAAAATATATGAAAATCAAATCAAAAAGTCAAATTCAAAAAATAATTCTTTTTAGAAGTATTAAAAAGAAAACTTTAAAAATCATACAATTGAAGTTTCATTCAAAAGTTGGTATAATTTTTCATTGATGAATTTTCATGTAATTCAAGTATCATATTATTCAATATTTATTATATATGAAAAAAGAACATTTAAATATTTTGCTTTTTGCAAAACATAAGTAATACATGAATATATTATATAACATTGAAAACATTTTTATGAATATTCCAGAAAGTAATAATGCAATATATATAAAATTTGAATTTGCAAAAATTGTTCAAAATATTGTCTCTGTTAATGTATTTCAATCGAAATCAATGTGTAAAGTGATCTCTTTTCTGTATAATTATCAAAGTCATAAATATCCACGTATATACATATAGAATGTATATTTGAGGCTGATCATCAATTCGTTGTACAATTCAATGCGGTTAAACGATATTTTACTGTATATATGCTATGTATAGTTTACTAAACTATTCATTCATCAACTGTATTGACAGGGTGATAAATTAGTAGACGACAACAAACTAATACTAAAAGATGCGGATACGGAAAGCAGCAATAGATATACTATTCGCATTCTCGGTGATACTAATGATGCTTTGAACTTCACTTATAACACGTTGCCAATCGAAGCTTCGAAAGGAGTACCTTATACCGCCATATTTACAAGTAAGTTCCAATTTTATCTTTCTCTCATCCTCTTTTCCTTTCTCTCCTTCTCTCACACCCGATAATAAAATCTCGACGTGAACCAATTTTCCAACTAACATTCAAGATATTGGTTCTCGTCTGTTACAGGAATTTCCGCAAAAACCACTCTTTTACCAAAGTCTCCTTATCGGATCATTCTTCAAGTAAAGGATGAATCTCTCATTCCAGGATATGGGGAAAATACGGTGAGATTTAATTTTAATTTTTATAAATCAATGATTTGTAAAAAAGAAATTATCATGATACAAATTTTTTCATGGATAAATTATATTAACATAAATTAGAAATTTAATATGTGTGTCACATTTAATGAATCGAAATTAAAAATACCATTTTTTAGAAAAAAATGCGTCTGAGAATGATATCACATTTCGAAATTTTTAATTTTTTTTAAATTTATTATTTTAATTTTTTATTCATATCTTTCCTATATTTCATAAATTCATATTATTATTCAGTTATATTCATAAATTCAAATATTATATATAATATTTGAAAAATTATATTATATTTTTTTTTTTTAATTTATTTTTCAATTATCTTTTTTTTTATAATCATTATAAATAATTTGTTTTGAGATATTATGTATTTTTAAATACTTTTTGTATTTTTCATATTGAAAATATCATTTTAAATTATTTTCTATTGAAATAACATATCGATTAAAAATATAGCTATCTTTAATTTCCAGAAGAGAAACTGCATTTTTCGATTTCTTCATATTTCTTCATATTTTCTGCTGTACATGTCAGATATTCAAAATATATATTATCAAAGAAATACAAGGTTTGATCAAAAAATTTTTATTTATTTCTATTTATAATAATAAATTTATATTTATTTTGAAACAATTATTTATTCATCAATATTGATATGATTCTCTTTAATAATTTCTATTGCACATATGCATACATATAATAATATCTATGTCAGTATTTTTTTCAATTTTCAAAACACATTTGAAATATATTTTTCAATGAAGCCTTTAATTCATTCAATTTTATCTTTATCTTTTGTCATCAGAGATTTAATTTTTCAGTTATAAGTAATTTTGATTTTGATTAAAATAAGACTTTAAAATTTTTATTTTTTTCCGTTTTCTGAACAAATTTTTAAACATATTTTTTGACTTTTTAATTCTTATCTTGATTATAATAATTATAATATATCTTTTATTAAATTTGTATTATAAATTTATTGATATTTTTTTCAAAATGAATATATAAAATGATGTTCATAATTTATAACAAATTATAATTATAAGAAAATTAAGAATTTTTGTAAAATAATAATTTTTTTTAATCTATTCCAAATCTTAACTCAAATTATTTTATTGAAAATTATTTTTACATAATAAAAAACATAATTTGTTGAAAATTAAATTATTATAAATTACTAAACAAAAATTTATAAAATCAATAAAAATAATAATTTTTAAGCAATTTATAGCATCTTAAAAAATTTTTTTATTAAAAATTCAATTTTTAGTATTTCTTAAATAGCATTGTAGAAAACAACTTTTATTTATTATTAAAATTCATGAATAAAGAATTTTGCTTCTATATTTCATTTTATATTTTTTGTATAAATATAACATGACATAAAAATTATGCATGAAATATATACATGAAATACAAAATTTGAAATAGATCTATAACATATTTTCTTTTTTTTTTTATTACAAAAATGCTTTTGAAAAAATTTAATAAAAATTCTTTGCTCGTAATTTTTTTCGAAAAATGGATCAATACTACTTTCATCAAGCATTGATGAATATTTTTTTAGTTTATATTATGTACTATGATTATATAGTTATCATAAATCTAAATTTTGAAATTTCATAAATATTTAAAAAAAAAACAGAATTTTAAAAACGTACTCTTATCTAACAGTACAATGCCTGATCAGTATCAAATTTACATCATATTCTTAGTATCATATTATTATAATTTTTGGTAGAAATTATTTTTAAAATCTATAGATTTTTATATTTTTCGATGTTTATTGCTGTTTCTGTATCAATCAATGAAATTTGCATATAAATGATAAATTGTAAAAACATATTGTTTAATTTTTTTGTCAAACAGATTTAAATGAAAAAGTTATAAAAAGCAATTTTTAATATTTTCTTCGCAATTTCGACCAAATTAAATTTTTCCAAAATTTTTTTTATATTTTGAAGATATTTATTCATTATTTAAATTATAATTAATTTATAAATAATTATA